GTAAAAGCAGCTAGTGTTATTAGTAGAATGATAATGTAGCTGTCATCGTGATGTGTAAGAAGTTAATATTTATTTGAGGATTTTCAAAATGTCCTCAGTGTTACACTGCATTCACCTCTATTTAACTTCAGTTCTCTCGCCGCCTCCCAAATAATATGAAATAAAATATTTACCATAACTTCTTTTTTGGTAATTGTTCTGATGGGCTTTCCTCTTCACAAGGTTTTATTATTTTACTGTTGAAATTGCTCGATGCTAGCGTACGTATCTGCTAACAATCTCTTCTTGTTAATATTATCATTTACCTGTCATCTATTTATATATACAATTATGTGACGTCCGTTAGTCTGCCTGTCGATCACACCCTCTTAAATAGCCATGCATTGACCGATTGAAACCAAATTTTGTTGAGAATTGCAAACAGGTAAGTAAGTGGGTAGGAAGTAGAGTGCGTAGCTTAGTACGATAAATTTTGATTCATTTTTTGGAAAAATTAAAAGTTTTATTATTTAACATGCCAAATACTCCCACTATTAAAAAAATCAATGATTAAAATAATACATATTTATTTAATAAAAGTGCAATAATATTTAATATCTTTCCTTTAAAATTTTATATACACAAGAATCAATTTTAGTGTTTGCACTGAGTTTGCGAGAACTATAAAAAATCACAAATCCAAACGCTTCATAGAGTTGGTATTTGTTTCCAGAAAGAAATTTCTACACGTGGTCAGTTTTTTGTTGCATGCTCAAGAGTAAGAAATCGTAAGAATTTATTCTTCGCTGTTAAAAGAAAAAAAAATTGTCGAAAAATTTTGTATAGCTGTAGTTCTACAAAATTAAATTAAATTATTAAACAGCGAAGTAGGGTTTTTTTTTGTCCAAGTGTTTTCCAAACAAATCTGCTTATTCAAATTTCATCGAGTCGTTTACCAAACGGAAGGAAACATAGAGTTTATAAATTTCGAGAAAAAATGTTAGCGATAACTTCAACAATACTAAATGCTGTAAGGAAAATTATTTTATTTCAATTTGGTGTTGTCCTTCCCCCTTATGAACATATTTTTCTTATGCTGATTAATTCCTGGAATAAGAAAGGGTACTTTCAGGTTACGATAAAACGGTCAGTTGTAAAAAAAAATGGATCTGGACAACAATCCGATTCCATGAAACTAATTAGCAGATTTTGATTAATTTTATATCATAGAGAAACTTTAAGTTTATCGTTCTTAGCCAAATATTTAAAAGAATATTTTCCTCTTTTTCTCAAAGGGGTTTGTTGCTATCGCTTTTCATTATCTTTTTCTATGTGTCGTATCACTTCAGCTGGTGAGAGACAATGGCTCTCAACAACATCCTGTTATTTGCATCCTGTACCTTTTCAATTTGGTCTTTTTGGTAATCCCTGTCTCTAACTAAACTGCAAGTAATGGGTTCAACTAAACTGCAAGTAATGGGTTCATTTTATTCTGAATAGAAACTAGGTTTCTATGTTTTTTCTTTATTTTACTTAATATGATATATGCAATTTTCGTGTCAGACGCACCCATAAATCTGACATATTTTTTGAATTCCAAGCGAAGTTATTTTGATAGTCATTTGCTGTCGTGTTTATGCCTTTCACCCATCCTAACTTCTTGCTAAATTGTTTGCTTTCTTTTATATGTTCTTGATATCGACCTTTTCTTGAGAATCAACGGCTACAAATAAATATTACATATATAGTTAGGTGTACTTGTGAGCACTTGCGTACATTAACACTTAACCTAGTGGTATACGTTTAGAAACAAAGAAAAGATTGCTGAACTGCTATGTGATATCAGTTATGTTATATGGCAAAGACTGCCTGACAATCTCGCCGGAGATGGAGTGGAAACTGGAAGCAACTGAAATGTGATTCTACAGAAGGATACTGAGAATTACATTAACGAAGCAAGTAAGCTACTAGGCTGTCATAAAGAAAAAAGAACAAGAACACTTAAACTCAGAATCAGAAAGAGACAACAGAGTTTCTGGCCATATATTGAGGAAAGAGTGCTTAGAAAAAATTAACACTCAGAGGACATATCGAGAGCACGAGAGATAGGCAAGACAGCAGGCCAAATATCCGATGAACTTTTGCTAATGAATATTTGAACATGGAGTTTTGGCAAAGGGAGAAACGCTGCTAAGGGCTATGACGGAGATGAAGTTATTGAAATCCATGATCGTTCATGTCCTTAAAGAGCAGGTTACCTAGAGGAAGAAGAGGAGTGGAGATCAGAATTCTGTCCAGACTAAATCATCGGAAAGTTAAACGAAGAATAACTCTAATATAATTCATCATTACATAGTATCCACATGTCATCTTTGAAACTGAGGCAGGTTTATTTGCGACTGTATAAAGTTATTTTCTAAGCGTAGCTTAGATGTGGCACAAGGCCAAAAGTAGGGGGTACCCAGTGAGGATCGAACACACTACTCAATCGTAATTGTTCTAGCGAGACAAGCTTGCTAGCCATTAAACCAAATCAAGGTGCCCCTTTGCGACTGTATAAATGAAAAGAAGTTATTCTACTTATGTAAACAATACTTTGAGCAACAAGAAAATTTTACAATAAAAAATCATCTTGAAATTTCTCATATAGCAATTGAGATAAGATGCTCTGGAAGTTTTGAAATTTACAAAAAAGATTTGAAGTTAAGAAAACCGGGGGAAAATTCGAGTAACCAACGTAACGAGTTTGCGCGAATAAATGACAGAATAATGAAAATACGGATGGTAAATATTCAGAATTTAGTTTAAGTACAGAAAAACAAAAGCTTTGAAATGATGTAATAATGGATAGCAGCTCGGATTGAGGAATCGGAGATCCGAGTTCGAATTCCAGTCGAATCCATTACATTCACTTACGTGTTAATAACCTTGGGAAAGGTATATATCCTCTTCTTCTCCCACCAGCTATGGGTAAATAGCAGGACAGACCGGGTTCAATAGCATTGGATGGCAACTGGTCTAACGCAGAAAGTAATAGCAATAAACTGCGTGAAAAAAATCTGCCTCGTCGGCCATGTATCGATATGCATATAAAATATACATATAGTATATAGCTTTTATTTTAGGGAACATTTAGAATATCTTCATTGAAAATAGATTACATTCGGTTGTTAATATTAATTATATAGATCTCAAAATGTAAATAGAGCCACTAATTTCGTATAAGGCTTCAGATATTTTGTCGAGAAATCAAGACATATGTTGGAATGAGACTTATTTAATATATAATGTGAGATTTTTTGTTAGGATTATCAAGATTAGTAATTTGGAAAATAATTTAGATTTCAAATCAAATTCTAAAGAATTTTTTTTAACAAAATATCATTTTAAGTGATGATATATATCGTACCTCCATGCTGAAATTAATGCATTATCATGAAAAAAAAATGAGATTAAAATTTAGCAACAAATAAATTACAGGATGAGCGTGTAGTCTGACGCATATCGTCGTAAAAATGGAACCAACTTTAAATCCCAGGCTATTTCACACTAATACACTTAGAAAAAGCATGAACCCGTCTCTTGTTTCACTCAATGTCTTAAGTAGCAGAGTAGAATGGACCTTCTAGTTTTGTGTGGCAACTAGACTAAGAGATTAAAATCTCTGAATAATGACAAGGGAGAAAACAACAGGAAAACAAAATCTATTCTCTCAACTATGAATGGCAAGTGTGGGGTGCCATGCGTGCATACATCTTAAAGCGACATGACATTACACACACACACACACACACACACACACACACACACATACACAGACACACACACAGAGACACACACACGCGCGCACGCAAATAAAGACGAGAAATACTTATGTTTAAAATATAACATAATATCTCGTTGAAACACAGGTTCTTTTACGATCACCAATTATAAGCAATGTCGATCCTGGTCATTATCTAGATGGGTGACCGTTTGGGACTATCAGATGCTGTAAGTTGTATTGTGCGGATGGTGTAATGTATAATGGCTTCGAATTATTAAACGGAGAGCCGAGTTCCAATTCCTGTTGGTTTCGTTATATTGATTTACGCGCAAATCCATTTGGTAAAGGTATGTGTCCACTTCGTTTACCCCTCCTATGGGTTAATTAGTAAGTCTTGTGTCAGTATACCATTATTATATCCAAAAATATCTTACAATCTAAAAATATTTAAATGACTTGGAAAGTGTTGATAACCCGTAGAAAATGATGGACTGAATCAACCAATCAACCGTACAGATACTAAGTGATCAGCAATTCTGAAGGCATGGTTTTCACCTACTTTCTGTTGAAAAAAGAAAGAAAGAAAGAAAGAAAGAAAGAAAGAAAGAAGAGCATTACTAAAAAAAGAGAGGAATAAATAAATGATGAAAGAAAAACGAAAAAGAAAGAAAGAAACAACAGAAGGAAGGAAGAAAGACTGGTATTACTAAAACAAGTTAAGAAGGAACAAAAATGATGAAAGTGTTTGCTAAACAGCTTTAATACTTTTAAATATTTACCTATTTTATGTAGACATATAGGAAGATAGGAAGTAGTTGTTTTAACTTATATAAAACATTCTTAATTTTACCATATATAAAAGAATCATAAACGGTATTCTATCTATATAAGACGCTTTTGTTATTTTGCCAAATTAGTGGCAACGATTTTTTCGTTGATATGTAATTGGAGCACATAATGATATACATTTCAAGACGAACTTATAACTACAACATAACTGAAGGTTTTTTTTCTACGAAGATTTAAAGTAAAGCCATTATTGTCCATGTTTCCTTCCTCACACTTGCTTTGTGCATGTGTACATAGAAATGGCTACTGCTAAGAAAACAATGTTTGTAAGATTTTATTTACTCGAATCAGTTACATGTTTGGGAAAAAGAGTTTGGAATAAGAAAAACGAGCCATCTTGTCTACATGAATGCAAATATTATTCACCCTAGAATTAATATTCTTTCCTTCATTGAACCTCCGGATCATGCAATTTGTTATTTTATTTTTATTTTTTTGCGCGCGTTACTTTTGTCTCTTTCTCTTTTCTATTGATTTGCTTCTTTCTTATATTTCTTTTAATTATATGGCCTTCTCTCCTTTATTTGTTGCTTTCTTCTTTTCTTTTACTTTCGCAACTTCAATACCTTTGCACATTTCTTTTTTTTCTTTCTTTATTTCTTTCTTTGTCTTCCATGGTGTATTTCTCAATTTGTTTTCTTTCGTCCTCCATCCTTTGTATCTTTCTTTTCTCTCATTTATTTCTTGTTCTTCCTCCCTTCCTTTGTTCGATCGTTCCTTTCTTCCTTTCTTTCTTTCTTTCTTTCTTTCTTTCTTTCTTTCTTTCTTTCTTTCTTTCTTTCTTTGTCTTCCCATGCGTATTTTTCATTTTGTCTTCTTTTGCTTTCCATCACTCTTTTCTTTCTATCTTTCTTTTCCCTCATTTATTTTTTGTTCTTCTTTTGTTCGTTCTTCTGTTCCTTTCTTGCTTCTTTCTTTCTTTTCCGTGTATCTTTTCCTTCCTTCCTTCCTTCCTTCCTTCCTTCCTTCCTTCCTTCCTTCCTTCCTTTATTTCTTTATTTCTTTCTTTCTTTCTTTCGTCGTTTTTTGTTTCATCATTTATTTATTCCTCTCTTGTTTTAGTAATGCCCTTCTTTCTTTCTTTCTTTCTTTCTTTTTTTCTTTTCATTGTTTGTTTTTCTTTAATAATTTCTTCTTTCCTCCATTCTTTTAGTAATGGTATTGTTTCTTTCTTTCTACTTTGTCTCTTTTTTTCTTCATTCATTTAAAAAAATTCTTTTCCTTCTCAAGTATCATTTTCTCTATAATTCATTTATATATTTCGAGAAAAATCTCGGCTTTTAATGGTATCATTATACTTTCATTTCTTGTTAAAACAATTTTCCTTCATGTTATGGTTTACTAAAGAATTTCCCTTAAGTTCCTGAAGCAAAATGCACTCTTCAACTATGTTTTTCTTTTCTTTTTAAAGGCGAAATCCTGAAAGATCACTATTTATTCCAAACGTAACTTGCTAATGTTCTAATACTATCAAAAAATCCAGATTCAAGGTAGACAGACAATATTGACGGCAGGCGAATAAACGCTCAAACTAAACAAACGACGCAGTAATCTCCGTTCATCCCGTCTCCCCAGAATACTTTACCGATTGCCGAAAGATTGCTGGGACATAACAATGCGTTGTAATTTGCAGATGATGTAATGAGATTTTCGGGAGATAAAAAATAAATTTTAAAGAACTTAAAAATAATCCAATGGATAGAAAAATACTGCCTCAAATAAATTAAGTTTGAATCAAGCAAGCATATCGGCCATGATGTTGCACCTGCTCTTAACGATAGTAAAATTAATTTATTCTATATTTTATTTGATTCGGTCTAATTTCCCTTGGTGATTCAACAAAGCAATGTTTCTACCGGTTTTCGCTCTGTTATTTTTCTTGTCTGTTTTCAATTTCTTTCTTTTTCCTTTTATTTCTGACTTCTTTTCGGATAACCTTGATTAGGTGATTGTGAACTATGTCAGGAATTATTACATTTTTCTCCCATGCTTTATCTAATTAGATTCTTTGTTAGTTTTCTATTTTCTATCGTATTTTGTTTGCATGAAACAAAAAGCAATTATGTCTGACGATATCTGATTGTTATTGCCACGATGTCACAGAACAATATAGAAAATTGGTAACGATTGTGAATGTTTCTCAAGCTAACTTTCGCATTTCTTTCATTGCTTCTATATCAAACCTCAACTCAGACTCGATCATGATTTCTTTGCTTTTAAAGGCTAAAAAAATTTCCGCCGAAATAAGTGTCCGTATGTCAATTTCTTCTGTTTGTCTTCGAGAACGGCTGACTCCGCCGCGTGTTGAGATTATCTTTTAAAGATTACATTAATTCATTCTGAAAATCGTTGAAACTTATTTCGCGTTTTCATCTCTTTTAATTTGACGTCAGTCACAAATTCTTTCTTTTTGTCTTTTTCCAAATTTTTGCTGTCTTCAGTAATTTTATCTTTCCGGGATTCGTTTATGTATGTTTTATGATTTCCTATAGATTTTAATAAAATTCTTTAATTATTAAGTAAAAAGCAAAACCAATAACCTTTTAGTTAGCTGTTATACAGCAAAAACGGACAACAAATGAAAACTATGTAAAAAAAAAGCAACCGGCGTAGTAATTGCGCACCAGGTATTCTGGTTGATCATTATTATTGTGTAGTGAGTTCAATCCCCATCGAGTAGTGCTTTTTCCAAAAAAGAAACACTGTAAATGTCAAGGGCGCACACTGAAGAGAAGAGCTTGGAGGATTTGAAACTCAAAGGTATATTGAAAGAAATATCGAAAGAGGAAAGAAGCGAAAAGATATACATTGTTAGCAGAACAAAGATTAGGAAAAATACCAATAAAACAAAACTTACAAAGAGCTACAAGAGACGTTATAGAGAGCCTTGAACACCTAGGTCGAGAAAAGAAGAAGAAGAAGAAGAAGAAGAAGAAGAAGAAGAAGAAGAAGAAGAAGAAACCTATATTACTGACGACACGAATTGGTGTAAATATTACCCATGTTGATTTGTTAATGCTGACAAGAAGTGAATTTGAGCCACACTGTAAACTTGAAGCTTTCAGAAGATGTGAACAAAGTTCGCTAATAAGTAATGTTCACCGGTAATTTTATGTAGCTAACCGTTAATAATAGGTAATTAGTACGCTCTCCATTGGTGCTATATAGTTGTTGACTTGTGCGAAACTAACTTAATCAAACTTTGGGTGACACGCCTTATGTAATGGTTAGCGCGTTATTCTGGTTAAACATTTATAAACAGTGAAATCGATCATCCTACCGACCTTGTGACACACTTAGTAAATAGTAACAACATGTAGAATGATTTGGATCTTCTTGAATATTCCATCGTTTGATTTAAAAAAAATATGTAATACACAAAATAGATTCAATTACATTTAAGAATATTAGGAATATCTCGTTAGAAACAAAGTAAACAGTTCTGAAATATTATGTAATTATATATTTTATATGGAATTGAATGATGGACAATTTTCTGACAGAGAAAGAGAATACATGAAGCAACAGAAATGTGATTCCACATACGAGTAACGAGGAAGTTTTAACCACGATAGAAACAATACGTACGAGTATACTTAGAAGCAGATAGAGACGTTTGATATTATGAGACGGAAAAAATGCGGGGGAGAAGTTGACATTCACAGGACATATTGAAATCAAGACGAATAAAAGCTTATAGTTCACCATTTGTCGATTATTCTAACAGATTGTGAGCATTGTTTACATGAGTAAAGAGGTGGTAGTGTGGTCTGAGATACAGGGTCCCGTGGTGACAACCAATATTTGTCAACCTTGGGAGATCATACAGGATACACATTTTGTCACTGGGAGCACTCGATCAAATATGGGAACGTTGCGGTGTCGAGAAATCAATGAGAAATATGGTTGCTTGTTGGCTGTGGGTTATCCACTTGCTCAATTTGTACGCCTTCCCTATGCGATGCATTTGAAGTCTGTGTGGTTCATTAGAAACCTGAAAGCATTGGACAAGATCACCACAGGTTTGACTGTTGCCCTCCACGATGACCGCCTCCAGGGCCTCATCATCCAGGACTTGTGCCCTTACCCCATTGCAGGGTTCATCACAAACTAACAGATCTCCCGACCTGAATATCTAGTGTAGCAGACCCGGTAGCATGCAGTGCTGGCCTACGAAAAGGTGGCCTTGTGCCAGACACTACTCACGACTACCGAATTCACTAGCAAAGTAAAAAAAAGGAATAAGTGAAAATAATAAAAGTGTGATCTTTTAACCGTAGAATTATTACAGTCTCCTTAGTGAGGAAAAAGGGTCATTCAACACATGCATTAAAAGGTAAAAAAAATAGGTAGCCAGGAGAAACAGCAAAATCGAGTCTGGTGGAAAACAAATATAAAACATTATTTAATAAAAAAGTATTTTTGTCTCAAACAGTGGAGGCTATCAGAAAAGTAAAGCTAGTTCTTTGCAAGTAGGCAAGTTGTATAAGGTAGTGACAAGTAGTCAGTAAAAGAATGTTAATGTTCCACGCCAAGACGAAAATCAAAATGGCTAAGGCGGGAAAGTTTCCCTTAGAAGGAAAATTCTGGAACAGAGTCTTCTTATGCAAATGGTACATGCCTACACAACAAGGAAAATACTCACTGCGAGATTTTTGTCATGTGTGTGTAATGTTATTTTTTTCTTTCTTTTTAAACTGGTTCGTAATGTTAGAGTTCAAAAGGTGTATGTGAAATTTATCAATCATCCGTGTCGAAAAACTCTACGTTCCCTGGTAGTGAACGGAGGAAAGTTCGAACAAGTTGTTCGCGTCAGGACGAGGAATTAGTCATTGTAAAAGTGTGATGGCGACGGTGTCATAAACTCTACGTTCTCCGGTAGAAAATGGAGGAAAGTTCAAACAAGTTGTTCGCAGAAAGTTGCAACCACATGAAGAGATTGGGCATGGTGAGCAAAGTAGTATACTAGGAAGTTTTTTGTAGTTAAGATATTTCGGCCCGCGTATAGGTAAGAGGCGCGAAATAAATGCGTCGACCTTTTTACTCGGAGACCAGGCAGCGACTGATTTGAAAAAAAACAAAACAAAAAAAACACCGTTCGTCAGTGACGTCAGAGAATGCGCGGGAAAACTTCAAATTCTGTTCTAGCTGGAATCAGCAGCAGCCAGCAACTTCCTCACGTCGGCAGCAGACGGCTGCTTACTACTATATCTAGCCGAAATCGAAAGGAAGGGGTGCAATACGCGCGCGCACGTAAAAGTAGGTGGAATCCCTGCGCGGTTCCACACTAGAACCAATGTCTGGCGGAGCGTTCACTCACAGTATTATCTACAAAGGCTTGCTGTCTTCACCGATTTTATACGGCTGAGATAAGCTCACCTTGAAGTCATAAAACAGACAAGAGTAAACGAGTTGCTTGGCACTCCCATCTGTCTTCGCCGCTTCAAGACCAAGGTTAAACGTTATCTTCCATTCCTATGTATGCAAATGGCCTCCAAACGTAACATATATATATATATATATATATATATATATATATATATATATATATATATATATATATATATATATATATATATAAATATATAGTAAGTTTTATATTTTACAAGGCCCGAGGCTATGAGTGATTTGTTTCCGCAATGCACTTGCATAAGTCAAGAGCAATATCAATTCACCAACCAGGCATGTGACTCACTAACTTGCATATCAGTGATCACTGCTTCCCACGCAAGCTAAAAAACGACAAAGTCTTTAATGGATACCTTATAATTGTACATAAATGCAATGTTAATTAAGATTATAATAAATCAACATGAATGTCCGTTCGTTGCCGAATCGAAAGGATAATGCGCTGATGTTATATTAAAAAATGCGGGAAAAAACAATTATTTTTTGCTCATCTAGAGGTGTGTCACTGTCACGCATTGATTCTGAGAGAGTTTGGAACATATAATAGAAATAATTACACATGAATCAGCATTCAGCATTGAAAAAGTGAAATTTAATTTAAAACGCTGCATTTCAATCATTATGAGATATACAGTCTCCCTCTCTCTCACTCTCTTTTCACACGCATATACTGTTGTCATATTCAGGCGAGAGCTTCCAAAAACTCACTCTCCAGGCTTGATATAGTTCAAAAGCATCCCCGAG